ACCTCCTTGATGCAACTGCCCAATGGCCTTGGCTGCAGAGCTATTGATAGTGTAATTCAGAAGTCGCTTGGGCGACAAAGTTGCCCAAGCATGGCCTTGAGACGGACAGCCACGAGTCAAGATCTCCCTGGCCTGTTGCACCGGCGGAAGCAAATCGGCCTGTCCCAGGGAAATGGTTAAGGCTCGCAATGCTTCATAATGTGCGCCAACGAGGTCGATTTCCGTTGCCTGCGGGCCTAGCGCTAGAAGGCGCATAGGTCGAGTAAGGTGTGAAAGGCCGACTCGGCAGTAGTAGCGACCCTGTGCAACTGCCGAGCTGCGGTGGTAATCATTGGCAACGAGAGCCCTCGAGGGCAAAAGCCTGCCAGAAGTCACGTAGGGCCCGTATTCCCCGCAGATGGTGAGGTCCGAGGGGCTCTGGCTCCGGCAGAGTCACTACCTCCCTGCTCTCTCGCAACTGCTGCAACGTAGTGGATAGCTGTATCCCCGTCCAATGGCGCGCACAGGGTTGTAAGGCAGCAATTACCGCAGCGGACAACCCGACCGTAGGCGGGGCAACCGAGGGAGGGGCATCAAAAATGCTGACGTAGAGATTAGTCTGAACGAGAGACTGGGATTGCAAAAGGATGGCAGCGTCGAGTGCTTCCCCGGCGAGCGAGTCCGCAACCGTATTAGCACTACGTGGGACTTGTTCCCACTCAACACGGATGTGGGACCTGGCCAGGGCATCCCATGCGCTTTGGAAGCGTTTCACAAGGCTGACCCGACGGAGCCGTCCGAAGCCGGCTAAGTAGGCTACAATGGCAAGATTGTCCCCCTGTATGTGGACAACTCGAATCGAGACTCCTCGCCCCCGGAGGGTGATTGCGTACTCAAGCGATCGGATCGCGGCCAGTATTGCCGCCTCCGCCTCGGCCTCATAAGCATCCGCGCAGTCCGGTAGGGGCAAAGAGAAAGTGATGTCCGCCGTGCCTGTAACGAACTGTGATGCCATACCGCAACACCTGCCCCCCCTGCAGTTATGTGCCGCTTGCATCCTCCATCAAACTGCACATACAGCGCGTCAGCGGGGTACCGCTGCACGTGAGCAGTGAGGTAAGCACCCGCCGGGATGCTGCAAAGAGCGGTGACGAAGGCATGTATGCGTCCACAGGAGCAGAGGCGGTGCTCAACACGGACATTTGGCTGCGATACCGCATGGGCAAGATAGAGCAGCCCGACTTCTAAGGCATGAGGGTCGAGCACGGCGACCGAAAAGCCCTCAACCAGATCGACAGTGGTGGTGACCGCAGGTTGTTGGGCAGTAGCTCGGTGGCGCGCGCGAGAGAAAGCGTCAACTGCTGAAACACTAAGGCCGCGGGAGAAAAGGCAGCCGGTGTGCGGACCATTATACGCAAGGAGTCTGTCGGCGGGCCAAACACAGACCGGAACCGTGCTGGCGCACCCCAGTAAGCAGCGCTTGCTATCCTGACTGCATGTTCAAGGGGCCCCGTGTCATAGGTCCCTGGCGGCGGGGTCCAACCCGGGGCCCACATTGCGCCAAGCTCCCGAAGATATCGCCGTGCAGAGGCAATAAGTTCCAACGAAGACGCAGCATGTTTCGGCAAGCCCCCCTGAAGTGACAAGGGCCGATTGAGTCCTAGCAAGCGCGCGGAGTGGGCAATGACGGGGCACTCGTGGAGCCAGTGCCTCACCGAGTTGTCCGCCCAGCCACACAACAAGCACGGGTGCTCGAGATAGTGAGATACCGCCGGCGGAATGGCACCAATTTTTCTAGGGGTAGGTGGCACGTCAAAGCTAGGCATGTTCCACCATGCGTCCCGATTTTCAAGAAGAAATGGTGCAAGTGCCTCAACCTTACACGCAAGCCAAGCTTTGTGCTCTGGCCAACCCAGGGCTAAAAGACAACCCCGACAGAGGCTGCCCTGTCCCGAGTGCCCAAGGCGGTGCAGGCTGGCCGGAGGGTAGGGATAGTGACACTGCGCACATGTGACGGGTCGCGTATAATGCTGCCGATAGACAAAGCTCGCATCCGCCTCTTCGGCAACAATCCACCTAAGGGCATACGCTCGTGCCACCGTGCTGGAGAGACTGGCAGGGCAGGTGAGGACGCCCGCAACCCATTGCAAGCCAGCGGCAGCCCACGGCTGCTTGGCGATTTTGTCAAGCAAATAGTGAGCTGCCTGAGAATCTTCGGTCTCAAGAATGCAGCGCTTGTAAAGCTTGCGGACATGCGACAGCGACTCGCTTTGAGACCCTTCGTTCCAAGCGCAAAAATTGGTGCCGACCAATGTTCGTGCATATTGTTGAAGGGCATCACGTATAGGCAGCGCTGAAGTAGTGTTGACGAGGCTGCGGGTAACCTGATCCAAGACGGCGGCGAGAAGAGGTTTTTCGGTCGATAAGACCGGACGCATTCCCCCCACGGCAGCAATCGCAAGTTTAGGGGCCAGGCGCAGCAGAAATCCCAGTCTCCCAAGAGGGCAGGACAACCGCCACGTACCAGGCTGTGGGATCTTAAAGATACGGAACACGCCGTTGACATGCTTGGCCTCCAGCCAATGTCGCCCTCCCCCCAAAACGTACCGGGCGCAGGCGACCAGGGTACGTTGCTGCTCGCCAGCGTCGGGCGGGATGACTTGCTGCGTGTATTGGAGGCAGCTTTGTAGGTAAGCACGGCAACAAATGGCGCGCTCGGGCAATGACTGGCGAAGGGGCTGGAAAAGCTTCCGTTTACGGGCAATGGACGACGCCGCTTTTTGACCCGTGAGGAGAATCTGCGCTTTAGGAAGGGTGCATGGGCCAGCCGTGCTACCAACGTATGTTGGCGCACCCCACAGCATAAAGCCCAAGACCGGCGCCGATTCGGTGCACAGCTTGGGACCCCAGGGCGTGGCATCAAGCTGGTAGATTTGCTCCGGGCTAGGCGCTCTTCCAAGCAACAAAGAGGATTTGCACTTACACTGGCAAGGCGCACGTAAGAAGGAACTAACAGTCCCACAGCTGGCAAAGTGGCCTGCGAGGTAAGCCTGGAGGGCGTGTTGCGTAGCCAGAAGGAGGGTGTCGCCTGATTTACAACAAAACCACTGTACACTCGGGACGTCAATGGGGCACAACCGGTGAACTCGGCGACAGACTTCAGTAAGGCTGGCTGCCGCCAACGAAAGGTCCTCTGTTTGACGAAAAAGGTCATGAAACTCCGGCGGAACAGGCGAGACGATGCCTTCCGCCCTGGCATGGCTCACCTGCTCAGCTAGGGCCATCGGGACCCTGACCGCAGAAAAGCACTGGTGTTTGAGGACATGAAATCCAGCACTATAAAGAGAGGAGAACTTGGTTTGCACGTCGCCTACCCATGCAACCTCCGAGCCAGCAGTAGAGTTGTCGTCCATATACGGTTTGAGCATTCGCACCCGTGGAATACGATGCAGCGAACAGATAAGCGGGTCCATGGCTACACAAAACAAAAGAACGGATGTGGCTCTTCCCATAGCTAGGCCTTGCCTCATACGAAGTGGAGGCAACAAGAGGCCTTGGATGCGATGTAGGGACTGTCGACCATATAAAAGATGTATACAGTATTGTCGGACCCACTGTGGGACGCGAAGACGTTCCAGGACCTCAAGAAGCCACCCCGGGTTGACCCTTTCAAAGGCTTTGGCCATGTCAGTGAGCAGGACATTGCAAGGCTGCGACTCGGACAACAAACAGTCCTGAACCATCATAAAGTTGGCAGGGGCTTCCTTTAGCTGACTAACGAGGGCCTGCGACTGATTAATGCAAGGAGCAATGACAGCCATGGCTGACGCAAAGACAGCGGAGTCAATAATGCGAGCAGCAGTGTCAGGCATGTCAAGCGGCCGGAAGTTGTCCGCGTATTGGCCCGCGTCAGCTTTGGGGATAAAGGTCAAGGCCTGTATCGGGGGCGGAGCGCTCCCGAGAATGATATCCACGAAATGGGAGTGAAGGGCATGCGCGGACTCAGTAGGTAACTGACGATAGCACTCATAGGGGCAACCATCGGGTCCCGCCGAAGAGTCTCCCGTGCGCAAGAGATGGAACATAATGTCCTCCTCCTGGGGAAGAGTACACCTGGCTACAGGCTGTGGCTGATAATCGCGGAGGACGGGCTTGCTGTGTAGCTAAGAATTGGAAGCAACGTAAAAGAGCCGCCCTCACAGGAGGGTGTATAAGGGATGTTGTGGCAATCGTCATCCTCCTTTGAGTGCAATACTCGTGGCTGGCTGCGGCACATAGCCGGGGACGACCATTATCGCTGCCTCATTCTCAACTTAAAACGCTAGCCCCAAAACGAGGCGTACTCTTTTTCGTCACTCTGAGCCTTTACGTCCGGGTGCACAGGTCTTCACTTCACGCTGCACAACACAGGTAAACTGGGGTCTGCTGTTACAGGAAAACGTTGTTACCCCCTTTGGTTTATGGTTGCCTCCTGCAACCGTAAAGCACTCCAACGTTGTATGAAGTCACTATGACATCACACCTTCGAGAAAACAAAAGCGTGTTGCTCCACAACACTGCCGAAAACTTTGTAGCTAGTCTACTGGCCTTCGGGTCAAAGCCAAAACACAGTCCTCACACCAGTCATTCATTTGATGACCAGTTGCACGAAAAGAACATGTATGACCAAAGTGTTTCACGAAGTCACACATACAGTACTTGTCATAGCAAGCCGAGCTTAAACTACGGCTCCAAAACAAACCCCTCAATGTACAGAAACTTTCACTCGCCAACTCGTTCATCTCAACGCTTCCCGCGACGGTTGTTCTTGAAAAGCTTGTGATCTGGATTCTTTGCCATGAGAGCCTTACGGATACTTTCCAAACATCTCGCACAAGGAAGTTGTCCACGAAGTAGTGATTCGCGCATCGTCATCATAGCGGTCGCCTTCGCGTCTTTCGTAATTGAAGAGCACACCCTGGTATGACATGCATAGCCATACGCAGTAGCAACATACACCTCCATGTCAAGCGGAACTCCACTCACCACCAATGGCCCCCCAGGAGCATCACGAAGTACTGCATGTAGCGGTCCTCCATCTCCAAGTCCAGGTTGAAGAGCATCTCCAGGATGATGATGTCCACGATGTTGCAGTCCAGCTTGATGTGCATCAGGTTGATGGTGTCCACGATGTTGTAGTTCAGGATGATGGCCTCCACGAAGTTGTACTCCAGGTTGATGTGCATCTTCAGGTTGATGGCGTCCGCGATGTTGTAATCCAGATTGGCGTACATCTCCAGAATGGTAATCTACACGACGGCGAAGTCCAGGTTGATTTCCGTCTCCACGATGACAATCTCCATGATCACGTAGCGGATGTTGGATTTGATGTTCAGCTCCTTCTTGGTCGCTTACCAGATCCACGTTTCTCTTGAAGATTCGACCTATGATTCGCAACCAACTGCTGATACTCATCTGCAAGATCGCGCCGAAGAAGCCCGCAAGCATAACTATCAACAACAAGCCCTTGAACAGTTCCCCTTCTGACCAGCTCAGCATAAACTCGGCGCTCATGGTCAATGATCTGATTGGCGGTCCAGCCGCTGTAGCACTCCTTTGTAACCGATCTGTCTGCGTCGATTTCTTTGTGTTGTCTTCTGAGTAGGGAAGCGAGAAATTTCTTGGATGCTGAAGAGATTTTGGACTCAATGGGGACGCATCGCTGGATCTTGGATTTTCCTTTGCCCTTGGGGTCGTTGCTGCCACCACTTTTGTCATTGATGTTGTTGTTGTGGTCGTCATCGGATTCTCCTGCAATGTTGTACTCCCCGCTACCCCGTAGAAGAGTGAAAGGAGTACCAGGAGCAGGAGCACCATGATCACGAACGGGAGGAATGGCCTCCCCCCTCTCATTGACGGGATAAGCATTTCCAAATCGGAACATGTGAAGCTTCCGGAGACCCCGAATGGCATATGCACTGTCACTTACCTTCACGCGCTTCAACTCATGTTTTGTGACCTCTTCCTCAAACTCAGCCTTACCGACTAGCTCACCATTTCTTGAGATCCCGAGCATGAATGACAACAATCTGATTCTCTGTTGGTTCATTGCCTTCGTCATCAGGTCCGGAGGGCAAAATTTAGTGCCGATAGGAGACGTCGTAAATTCTCCAGCTCGACACTTGTCTTGAATCCACAAGAAGGCGATCTCCACGTGTCGCATTCGCGACAAACCTTGCTTGTTGATAACAGCCCGACATGAAGATGAGTCCACACGGTGACGAAGCTCCACATCACTTCCGCAAAGCCGCTCTAGCACTCTCCTCAGGAAAATTCCCTCCTGCACTGCAGCTAGAGAGCCATGTAATTCCGCTTCGCAACTGCTCAATGTGATGGACTTCTGTCTACGATTAGTCGCATGTACAAGGTTCCCGTTGAGGTAGATAGTCATCGCACTTATCGACCGTCTGTCCCTTTCTCCTGCCCACGAGGCATCACTCACCGCTTCGAGCAAGTGCCCCTCGCCGAACACGCAATCCTCGGATCCATGCTTGGCATCGAGACCTAGACATCGTTGCTGCAATGTTCTTCCCGGGTTGCATGGGGTCAGGAGAATGCCTTGCTCCGGATAGCTCTTCAGGAACTTCACAAGATGCCGAAGGAGACCCCATTCATGTTCCGTTGGCGCGGTGCACTTGCCACTCAAAAGCTTAATCGCATAAAGGCACTCAGGTCTGTCTTGTCCAAGATACAAGAGCACTCCCACGGCAGTCCGATAGATGCCATGGCGCCGTTCATCCAACGGCGTGTCATCTTTCACGTCATGCGGATTCAAAGGGGACGGGGTCGACTTTCCAGCCGCCCTCTGCAATCCAAGGAGCTCAACGAGTTTCTCTATGTGTTTTCCATCTTGACTCACCAGGATCCCTTCACCCGTGCCCGTGAACTTCCGCTTCAAGAAGTGACACTCTCCCCCTTCAAACGTGCACGGGCCCTCGATGGAAAAACTCAAACCTGCCCCCTTCAACTTGGCTTTCAACTGATCAACACGCTCATCTGTGCTCAGAATCTCCAAATCATCTACATGTGTGGAAACACCGATCTTCTTAGGCTGAATGAATAAAGCCGGAGCTGCTTCAAAAGCTTCAAGTCCATCTCCAGTCATCACACCAGCCAACTTGTCGTAGAAGTCGCGAGCGCCAGCTCGTTGGCCTGGTAAGTTGAACAACAGCTCAAAGATGAATCCATCAAGACGAATGAAAGTCGGTCGACGTTGTGGCACTGTGAGGTATGCGTCTTTGATGTCCCCCGTGTACAAGCGAAGTTTTGGGCATGAACATGCGAGGCTTGCGAACAACTTCTGAAGGCATGCCAATGAAGCAGGCGCATACAAATGTTCCATCGTTGGGTCGATGAACCTAAACTCCTTTGCTACAAGGCGGGATCGCCTCACCCAGGACCACGCCGTGCCCGCTGCATTGGATCGAAACCTCCAATCTCTCACAAACTTGCTCTGCAGGTTCATCATCCCACTCGTGTCATCATTGTCCGTCAACTGCTTTAGGACCCCCATCTCCAACAAACGATTCAACTCTACTTTGTCCATAGCTGCATCAAGAATTTGGAGTTTCTCGGCGGGGAGCTGCGGAGGTCCGTCTTCATAACGACGAGAAGCCCATTCCTTGCTGAGTTCATGATCTACCTGATCTTTGGGCTCTTCACTTTCATCTACTCTCCAGTCTACCTCTAGACCAGCTTCCAATGGATCACCGTCAGCTTCAGCAAAACCTTCTTCACCGTCATGCCCCGTGGGCATCTCTTCCTCTAGCTCTAATCTATTCACCCCACCTGGAACATCAACCATGAGCTCAGCAGACTCTCCACTCGACATTGCACTCGAACTCTCACCAGGCAGGCTCATGGAACTCACAGATGGTGCTGAACCCACGGAGCTAATGCCAGCACCGCCAGCTCCATCCGGTGATGGAGGATCCCATCAAACTTGCCCTTGTTGCCTTTGTACTTGCCTTTGTCCTTCCCGAAACCTTTGTTCTTGCCATCAAACTTGCCCTTGATGCCTTTGTGCTTGCCTTTGTCCTTTCCTTTCTGAACACGATCAACGTCCATTGGACCACTTGTGTCCGCACCGATAGCCTTCAAGACCTGCTCGGAACACCAACTCGACGAACTTCTTTCGAATGTCAGCAAGAGCTCTCGGAGCTGCTCATACTTTGTGGTCTCCGTGATCTGAAGTTGTAGAAAACGACGAACATCTGAAGACAAGCCGTTTAGGAGGGTGGAGATCTTGAGGTCGTCTGGGTACTTCTGGGGGCTCACTCTCTCGTACTCTCCAACCAGGCGCTCAAAAGTCAACATGTACTCTAAGAGTGAGTTGCCCTCCTTGTAAGGAGGGTATCTGGTGAGCGCTTGCGCTAAAGCCAGTGCCCGAGGCCGGGTCGCAGGCTGAAGCTCATCACTCAATCTTCTCCACACTCGAAAACCACACCCAGAAATCTCGGACTTCAAGATCTTCAACGCACGGCCTCTCAAGTAGCTGGCCAAGATAGCAAACAACCTTTCTGATCTGCTCTTCATCTCTGCACTGTAGCTCGAAACTTCAAGAAAACTGTCCGCGGTTTCACACTTCAAAAACTCAGCCTTGTACTCTCCGTCTTGCACACACATGAATGCTTTGAACTGAAAACTCCAATCTGGCCACATTGCTAGCTCATCCTCAAGCGTCTTAGCACTAAACACTTCAGGGCTCTTCACGAACTTGGACTCCTTCCATGTTGTAGTGCTTGAACTTGCTGCAGCTGTAGCCTGAGCTGCCGAAGCCAAAGACTGAACTGCCTGCGCAAGCTGAGCTAGAACATCCGTTGGATCGATTCCGCCTTGACTTCCCGTAGGACTGGCCATTTTCCCGTAGCCGCTCAAGGCTCAGATCACGCCAGTCAAGTTCCTTGCCAGCTGCGCCACCACGCACACCAGCTCTACTCTCTACACCCAAAGTTGAACTTGTACTCGAAAACCTAGTTGAAGTAGTGCACCCGGCGCGAACTCCGCTGCCAAAAGGTGTTTGAAGAAAAGAAGTGTCAGCGTCGCTCGCTGCAACGCACAAAGAAGGTGGCAGTGGCCACAGCACTCAAACTCAGCTACACAGCAGCGCCGCAGGAGCGCCAATGGCTATGCCAAGCTAAGGAGCACACACTTGGGCCCTACACTACACACCTACACACACACACACCTGGGGATCTGGGTCCTGTCCCCTTGAAGCTCTGGTTCGGACCAGAGCTCCGCTACCATAAAACGCTAGCCCCAAAACGAGGCGTACTCTTTTTCGTCACTCTGAGCCTTTACGTCCGGGTGCACAGGTCTTCACTTCACGCTGCACAACACAGGTAAACTGGGGTCTGCTGTTACAGGAAAACGTTGTTACAACTACTGGAGCAAGCTTGATCAATGCGGTGTGTGTACGGGACTTGGCATCAAGGCTATCTGGTAGCCAGGTAATAGGCGTCAGTAATGCAGGTTGTTGAGCGGGCCATTCAGCTTCATAAACGCAGACTCCGGAAGGCTGACCAGTACAGCCATTAAGCAGAGTCGAAATGACATTGAGGACCCCATACTCAATGTGGGAGGGGTCAATTTCCCGGGACCATAGATCCTCGGGAATGAACGCGTTGCCCAATAATGGAAGCAAAGCGAGAATTACGGCCTGAACAGGGGGAAAGTGACCCAAGACAGAAAGGGGTCCGCCAGATACGCTCAAAGCGCATGCAACCTCTAATGTTGCGTAATTAAAAAGGAGGACAGCTGCATGATCGACTTGCAGGTATGCAGCAAGGACCTCAAAGTCATCGGTAGGTATAACTTGAGGTGAGGAAAGACAGGAGAGTTGAAGAGGGGCAACACCTTCTCAGTGATGGCCCCCTGGTCAACCTCGGCCTGGAACCAAATGGCGCCAGTCAAACTAGGTGGGATGGCAACAAGGCAGACTGCATGAACAGGGCCAGCCTCAGGTTTAAAGGCCCAAGAAGCAAGCTTACCACCAACAAGATGCAGGAAGACAATAAGCCGGCCATCCAGGGCGCTCGGAATGGAATTAAGAATAAAGCAAATGTACCTTATGTATAAGTCTTCTAGATCACGTGCCTTGGTGCCGCAAAATTCAACAACGGATATTTTCCGAAGGGTGCTGCACCTGAAGAATTGCGAAAGGATCTGTGATGTAGTAACATATGCCGCAGTGCTCAGCGGGGCCCCAAAGGACTGGAAGAGAGTCCGGAGCTTGACCTCAAAGGCTGCAGGAAGTTGCTCTAAAAGTTGCGGTATGGCCTCAGGTGGCTCATGGATGAAGTCTGAGCCGCTTCCCCCTAAGCCAGCAATGGATAGGGGCACCCAATCAACACTGGCAAACGGCTTGTGGCCGACGGTTGGTTTACTTACCCTGAGGTTCTCAACACCGTGCCAGAAGGACGGCGCTAAGATATCGTCGCCTAAGGGCTGGAGTTTAATATCGCGCTTCCACTCCTGTGCCCGCTCATGGGAGACCTGCCGCTGGCTAACCGAGGCGTCTATGAGTGCATGTACTGACTTTTTCAATGCTTCATAATGCGCACGAAGCTCGTCTGGTGACGGTACTGCTGCTATCGGTAGACAACTAGTGAGGTCGGTGACCACATACCGACGCACAACGCTGGGTATAAAGGAGTTTCCAGCGAGGGAAGCAATGAGACTAGGCGGAGTCGAGCGCGGAACAACTCTGAACGCTTCGAGAAGCTCTAAGTCAGCAAGTATCTCTTGGAGCTTTATAGGGCGAAAAGGAAGTGATATAGTTTGGAGATACTCAAAGAGTGGCTCGAGGGTAGTCTCCAAGCTTTGATCGATGAAGCCGTTGCAAGAATTGCCGGCTGTGACAAAAGTGAGCCAACTTGGCAGAAGGTGTGCTGGAAAGAAATCCTCCCAGGGGATAACTGGGTAACGTTGCTTAGATGCAGCAGGATTGCAGCAAGCAGCCTCAAAGTTGGCACAACTCCCGAAGTAGGAGATCTGATACAACAGGAAGCGAGGGTGGTACAGTGCGGTTGTCAATCGTGGGGCTCCATCCTGAATCTCTCCCCTTGGCCGCATAAAGGGGGGGAGGGTGGCTCGTGACACTCGGCCATGGTCGTCAGTTACAAGAGCAGGAGACCACCCTGCTTCAAGCGGATAAATGCGATGCCGCTGCACCCCCGTAACAGGTTGACTGGATCGGGAGAAGAATGCACGCTTGCGCGAGGCAATCTTACCAAAATCAGCAGCATTGGCAATCGAAAGTGCACTAGCTGGAAGGCCAAGACACAAAGTAATGTGCCGCTGGAAGATGGGTTTCATAGAACCTGCGTTCTCAAGGACTGGTTGGATGGCAATTGCCGGGGGAAGGAGGAGCTGTAGCGCGTGAATTGTTGCCCAGACGTAGTAAAACGCTGAGCTCCGCGGTCCCGTGAGTCCAAGGTGCCCTTTACTATAACCAGCAAAGGAAAGGTCAGGGCACGGAGAACCAGCAACGACATAGATGCACCCAAGCGTTGCTTCACACAGATGAAGCATTTCCTTGATTTTCTTACAAGAGTTTTCAAGGATGTCAGCTACATCTTTCAGGTAGGCGACAGGGTAACCTCCTCCACACTCTTGCCAGTCGCCGTGAATGTCAAAGTGGCGCAGGGTAGAAACTAATGCTCGTATCTGGTCATCTTGTTCTACAGCAATCAGCGCGCTGGGATGCTGTTTATGGCATGAACGAATAATATCGACTGCCGTACAAGCTCCATCAAACAGCGAGATGACCGCATAAGGTGCGGGGCTCAGGGGGCCATGCCCAGCCAGCTCCTTGGCAGAACGAGTTAATCCGACAAAGCCAGCAGCCCGTCGATAATCAGAAGCGATAGTATTTCGCAACTGTCGGACGCCTCTTTCTGTAGCAGCAACCGCAAGAACTTCGGGCTTGAAGACTTTAGCGCTGGCTGGCGCAACACCGGTCGAAGAGTTTCTCTTGCGAGACAAGTCGTCCGGTTTGGAGGCGTCATCGTCCGAATCCTGAACATCAACAATATCTTGCTTGTTCGACTCCTCTGCAAGGGGCATCGGTGTGTCAGGGTCTTCCGGGTCATGAGCAGTGTGCCTAACACTGAAGGGTTCTGTTGTAGTAGCGGAAGGAGCGGCGTAACGATCAACTAGAGAGCCAATGCCGGAGGCTGACACCGCAAGAGAGGAGGAGGCTTTAGGTAGGCCAAGGTAAGCAGCCGCATTGATGTACGTTTGTTGTACTCGTCGGCTGGAGGCAGTGGCAGCTTGCACAACAACCGTTGTTACCGAGGACTGAGCTCCAACCTCTTCCTGCCATTGCGCATATGAGATAGCGTCCTTGGCGTAGGGAGCGCAATCCGCGGGTAGCTCGTCGCGAAAGATGAGTCGCAGTCCTCGCAGATTGTCATAGGAGTAGGCGAGCCCACAATCAGCAAACTCGAGCGTACAATAGTGCTTTAGGCGCTTGGAATGAATAACAAGGGCTTGAACTCTGAACTTAACTTTGCTAAGATCGTCAAGAATGAGCTCATGCCCAAGCAAGTCATAGGCAGCGTCTTTATAAGCAGATGTGTGTGACTCTAAAACAAATGCGAAGGACCGCGGATAATGTAAGCCGTCAGGTTTAAGCTGCATGTGACAGCGGTCACAAGCGCTTTGACATACTCCCGTCATCACAATCCGGTTGACTGACGACTTTGCAGCGGCATCGAAGTTGGTAAGAATGTCGTCATGGGCCTCTAAGTCTGTTAGTAGGGCAGTGTAACAGGCATGTTTAGCAACGCGGAGTGCAGCAGTTGTATTCATGCGATGCACACAAGCACA